TCACCCAAGAGATTTTTTTTCCTTTTTATTTTCTCTGGTTACAGAGGAAAAATATGCGCAACTTTGTCTTGCACTCAGGTTTCCAGAAGTGGCAAAAAAGCTGAACATGTTCACTAAATATTACTACGCATCATCATGTTTGGATTCATAAATCATGTGACTAAATAATATACATTTACAAGCACAGCCTTCGTTGCAAAGAAAATGGCTTGCTTGTAATGCATTGGTTACCATCCTAAACTTATGACTATTGACAGCTCCAGAAATCATGTCATTGTACCAACTTGGTTTTGTCAAGTTCTAACAGTTCTGTTGTACATGTTAATTTGTCTCCAGTTCCTGTCATTGTTTTAAACTCATGTCTTAAATAATTAAATTTGAATGCCATAGAGTATTGGTGCTATACAATCTTATAAAAAACATGGCCTTGAGTCAAATCCACACATATCTGAGCCAAACAAATAGTATTCACTTCTGATGATTGTTGCTGTAACTTTTTTCTTTCTTTAAAAGATTTATCAATCAAAAGATGTTTGCTATTTTCTAATTAGCATAATTAATATTGCTTTTGAGACATCAATTCATGTTTATATTTTTGGGTTAGATTGCAAATCACAAGAAGTCATAATTGTCATGGGAGATCTGAACACCAAACTAGGCAAGAAGAGGGTAGGGAAGATAGCTGGCAAATTTGGACTAGGAACTTGCAATGAATGTGGAGAAAAATGGATCTAATGGTTAACGGTCAATGACTAGGTAATAGCCAACACATAGTTCCAAGAACATCCGAGATGATTATGGACTTGAAGAGGCCCGGGAGGAGAAACTAAAAACCAAATTGACTACATAACTATCAACAAACGATTAAGGAATGCAATGATTCACTGCAAAACCTACCCAAGTGCTGACTGCAGAAGCGACCCTCGCCCAGTTATATGTAAACTAAGAGTGAAACTACGGAAACTGAAGAAGCCTAATGCAACACCCAAATTGCTATACAACAAACTACTGAGCAACCTGAACCTGAAGGAAAATATTATGGACAGTGTGAAAAGAAGACATGAGGAATAAAATGTAAATGGAAACTCAATATGGGATGCACTAAGAGAAGCTTTAGTGACATCATCAAATGATATCATCCCAAAGGAGAGTGGACACAAAAGAAAAAAAACAAATGGATAACTGATGAAATATGATGCAATATGGAATGGAGTACAGAAAACTAGACAATGAAATAAGGATCAAATGCAGGCTGGCTAAAAAAGAGTGGCTAAACAAAAAAATATGCAAAATAGAGAGATTGAGTACCACAGACAAAGAGATCTACATAAACAAATAAGCGAACTAACATGACAGAAGACATGCTTGTCAACAGGCTGCATAAAATCCAAGGATGGAATGCTCATATTATAGAAGGAAAAAAATTCTTCAAGTGCTGGAACGAATATATTGAAGAACTCTTTCATGATGAAAGAGAACAACTGGCAATACACAGAATTACTGATGGGTCTGAAATTCTAAAAACAAGTAGAAGTGGTACTGGCCAAATTGAACAGAAACAAGGTGGTAGAACCAGGTGGAATTGTAACAGAGATGCTGACAGCTTTAGATGATTTTGGCATAGACAAGATTATGGAAATAATAAAATGAAATCTACAACACTGGGGATATACTGGAAGATCTAAGCAGATATATTTTCATAGCACTGCTGAAGAAACTCGGTGCAAATGAATGTGAATTCCACCAAAAAATCAGCCTAATGAGCTGCATAACAAAATCATCATCTGTATTCTGATGATTACAGCATGCAGCAGAATCAGACCAGAGATAGGATAAAAACAGTGCATGTTTGTTAAAGACACTGGAACAAGGAACACAATATTCATGCTCAGAATGTTATCAGAAAGAGCAATAAAAATGCGAAAAGATGTGTACCTGTGTTTTTTTAGAATATGCAAAAGCATTCGACAAAATACGCCCCAAAGATCTTTTAGAGCTGCTCAGCAACCTTAACATAATCGGGAAAGACATTAGAATAATCAAAAATCTCTACTGACAGTAAACCACCTGCATAAAGATAAAAAATAAGTTCAGCAGATATACAAAAACAGAAAGAGGCATAAGGCAAGGATGTGTCTTCTCACCAGACTTATTCAACCTATACAGCGATTCATCATTGGTGGCGACAATCTTAACAACATAAGATACACAGATGACACTAAGCATAAATTATAAGAAGACAGAATGCATGGTCATCAGTAAAAAGATGAGCCCAAAATGTGATTTTCAGGTCGGGGATACTAAAATCAAGCAGGTACAGAAATTTAAATATCTGGGAAGTGTTCTGACAGAGGGCGGTAAGTGTGATGATGAGATCTGAAGACATATTGGGATGGCTAAAGACACATTCTAAAAGCTAGGGAGAGTATTACAAGACAGGAGGATTTTGTTGGTAACAAAGAAAAGAGTAATGAACTGCTACATGATGTCTGTCCTCCTTTATGGCAGTGAATGTTGGATGATCTCCTCAAAAATGAAGAAGGGACTCAAAGTAACAGAGGTATGGTCTCTACAGAAGGATGCTAAGGATACCATGAACTGAATGTGTGAACATCAATGAGGTTTTGGGGAGGATTCAAACAAAGAGGAAACTTATACTTAACATCAGGAAGAGGGAGCTGAAATTTTTGGGACACATAATGAGAAAGGAGAGCTTGGAAAATCTGATACTCACAGGGAAGATAGAAGGAAAGAGGGACAAGGGAAAGCAATGTGTGACATACTTAGCAAGTTTAAGCAAGTAGATGGCAGAACAGCATTTGGGAGAAGTAGCAAAAAGACAAAACTTATTGAGAGCTACAAGGGATAGGAGAAGTGGAGAGCCATGATCGCCTACATCTTAAAAGGTCACAGCACATAAAAGAAAAAGCTAGTCACACAATTTGTGCATATATAGTTTTGTGGGGGTCACCCTTGAGCAATATGGAACATCTATAAACTTCATTTTTTTTTTGTTTGTTTTTTTTTATAAAATTGTCTGTCTGAATTTATATCATTTAATAAAATGTAATCGGTCTGATGATGGTGTGTGTGTGTGTGTGTATATATATATATATATATATATATATATATATATATATATATATATATATATACACACAACCTCCTCCCCTGACTAGAATCCCCTACCTCCATAATATGATTCCAGTAACGGTACCTTATTTTTCTCTCAATACCTCCCAATAAGTCCCTTATAACACGCTTTCTCTCTCTCTTTCTTTCTCCAAATAAACAGTACACTACAAACTGATACCATAGACAGTTTGAAAAATCCTGCAAATTTTTAAATTAAAATTTGTAGGTGAAAACGGTCATTAACTAAAGGTATCTTAATTCCAATTGTAAAGAAAATTTGCTCTGTTTAATGAAAATAAACATTGAGCGCTCTTTTGTGAGTCAGTTGTAACATATTTCAAATTCTATGTTGTGTTGATAGGACTTGCCTGGATTATACCAACAGATTACTACATATATATTCATCCAAATACAGGCCTGTTTTGCTGTATCACAGCTCATCAGTGTGGTTAGACATCCGGTTGCTTCAAGCTGGGATCGAAACCCTACAGATTTGGCATCAGTTGGAGATCCCCACCCTTAAGCTATTGGCACATGGCAGATAGGAGGGGAAATTCTAACATATTGTATACAGATGTAAACAAACAGCAGCAGCTAACAGTGCTCTCTTCATTAATGAAGAGCGGTGCGTTAATAGTGGTTATGGCTACTGTTTTGGAATTACCTCTCTCCCAACAGTGCCCAATCGAATATATGAGAGCTTTTTAATCATATATATATATATATATATATATATATATATATATATATATATATATAAACTGTTGAAATAAATGTATAACTGATTATATGATAACTAATTATCTCTTTTCCTTATTATTTATTTATATTGCTCTGTATATAAATTTATACATTGAGCTCTCATCATTAACTTTTTAATATTTTTATATTAAAAAGACCACATTGGAGTAATCACTACCATCTACGGATTTGGTATTATATATATATATATATATATATATATATATATATATAATTAGTATGACAAATTGGAAAAAAGTTTTCATGACACGTTTCATATATATATATATATATATATATATATATATATATATATATATATATATATATATATATATATATAATTAGTATGACAAATTGGAAAAAAGTTTTCATGACACGTTTTCATATATATATATATATATATACATATATATATATATATATTAGTATGACAAATTGGAAAAAAGTTTTTTCATGACACGTTTCATATATATATATATACATATATATATATATATATATAATTAGTATGACAAATTGGAAAAAAGTTTTCATGACACGTTTCATATATATATATATATATATATATATATACATATATATATATATATATATATAATTAGTATGACAAATTGGAAAAAAAGTTTTCATGACACGTTTCATATATATATATATATATATATATATATATATATATATATATATATATATAAATTAGTATGACAAATTGGAAAAAAGTTTTTCATGACACGTTTCATATATATATATATATATATATATATATATATATATATATATATATATATATATTAGTATGACAAATTGGAAAAAAAAGTTTTCATGACACGTTTCATACATATATATATATATATATATATATATATATATATATATATATATATATATATATATATATATATATATATAATTAGTATGTCAAATTGGAAAAAGTTTTTCATGACACGTTTCATATATATATATAGTATAACAAATTGGAAAAATGTTTTTTGTGACATATTTCATATATATATATTTTCAAAGTTTACTTTAATTGAATGTTTTAAAAACTTTAGAAAATTAATTTTTTCTTTTTCAAACCACCAATGTCAATTCTATTTTTTGTTTTTAATTCATCTGAACAGAAGAAAAGAAGCCTCTTTTGATGATGGCTGGTGTTTTTGACATCTGTTATAAATCTGACGTGAGTTTACTTTCATCTTTCTTTCTAAATCTGATATTTTTTCTTCACAGATAAAAAAAAAAACTTTCCTAAAAGTTGTATAAAGGGTACTAAATAAATGCACAGTCTCTATTCCCCCCTCTTCAAACAGTTTGAGGTGTTATCATCCTCCGCTGATAAAGCTGAATGCTTTGTCTGTAAATTCTCCTCAAACTCTACTCTTGACTCATCTGGAATAACTTCTCACTTACAACTGATTTTCTGCTGAGTGATATGCATATAACCCCTTCTATGGTCTGTTATCATCTCTAACTTTGATCCCCACAAAGCATGTGGATCCAATAGTATTCCTGTAATAGTCATTAAGGACTGTGCTCGCAAACTGGCTCCTGTTCTCTTTAAACTGTATAATAGATGCCTTGTTGCCTCCTGCTTTCCTCTCTGCTGGAAGTCATCATCTGTTGTTCCAATATTTAAGAACTCTGGTGAACTGTTCAACCCATCTATCCGTCTATTAGCCTTCTAACCCTTTTTTTTGGAAACTCCTAGAGGCTCTAATCAATGCTGAATTGGTTCATCTTTCATCATAGAGCCTTTTCTTAGACAAGCAATACAGTTTTCGTTTATCCTGGTCAACTACTGATGTACTAACGATAATTGTGGAAAGGGTCTGTTGTACTCTAGATAAAAACTGTGAAGCTCAGACTGTAGCAATGGACATCTTGAAAGCCTTTAACAGGGTCTAGTATTCAGGTCTTCTCCATAAGCTGAAAAGTTACAGTATCTCCAGGCACATTTTTGAGTTGATCCAATCATTCCTATCAAATTGTGAAATGAAAATTGTCCTGAATGGCCACTCATCTACATCCTTTGGTATTAATGTGGTTTTCCCCCAGGGCCCTATCTTTGGTCCTACACTGTTTTTAATCTTCATTAATGACCTTCCCATTGACATCATCTCTCAACTTGGCATCTATGCTGATGACACTACCATTTACTCCTGCCTTGATTATAAAGCTGATTGGTATGACAAAGTCAAAATTGTTAGCTGATGTACAAAAATGACCTCAAGACTGTCATAAATTGTGACAAAAGATGGTTTGTCAATTTTAATGCCTCCAAAGCTAAACTTCTCTCCATTAATCATCTGAATGGCTGATGCTAACCTCCAGGAAAGTGACTCATTGCACCTTCTAGGGTTAACGTTCTCAGCTGACATGAAGTGGAAAGACTATATTAAATTCATTGCTACCTTAGCTGCTAAGAAAGTCGGTTTACTGTTTCAGATGAGACTATTCTTCTCTCCTGAATCTATCTTGCATATCTATAAGTCTACCATTCATCCATGCTTAGAATATTGCTGCCATATATGGTCTGGTGCCTCTGTGATTTACCTGGAGCTCCTTCCAAAGAAGAATCAGCAATATTATTGGTCCTGATCTAGCAGCTCGACTTCAGTCACTTGCCCACTGCCGTAAGGTTGCCTTTCTTATAAATACTTTCATGGTAACTGTTCAGATGAGCCCTTTGCTATGCTACCTAAACTGTATGAACTTGAGCGCAATACTAGACTGATGGTGAGATTGCATCAATTTATAGTTGAGCTAGCTAGATGTAGCTGCTACCTAAACTGTATGAATTTGAGCGCAATACTAGACTGATGGTGAGATTGCATCAATTTACAGTTGAGCTAGCTAGATGTAGCTGCTACCTAAACTGTATGAATTTGAGCGCAATACTAGACTGATGGTGAGATTGCATCAATTTACAGTTGAGCTAGCTAGATGTAGCTGCTACCTAAACTGTATGAATTTGAGCGCAATACTAGACTGATGGTGAGATTGCATCAATTTACAGTTGAGCTAGCTAGATGTAGCTGTAACTTTTACACTACCAGTTTCTTTTCTCACACCTCTTACTTGTGGAACTCGTTTCTGGCTCCATGCTTTCCAGCCAACTTTAATCTACAAGAATTTAAATGCAATGCCAATCACTATTTCCTGTCCTCTTGAAAGCTCTTTTCTCTTTCTACTCATTAGTAATGTTTCTGTTTCTAATTCCTCTACAGCTTGTAACCCCTTGCATGTTAATGGCTATACTGCCTTGCTTGGGGGGGGACACTGATTAAAAAAATAAGAAAAAGCAAAATAAATAAACTTAGCAAAAAAGTTAATATAAAAAACTAATAAAGTGGGAAGGCAAACTGTTTGAAATGTGTAAGATCAGCAGTTTATTGCTGGTTGACTAGTTAAAGTTTAAGCCCATTTGTGAAACTCAGATAGTAGCAATGACAAAACAAGATATGCTAAACTGGCCAGCAAAAAAAACAAAACATTTTATGACCAGGAGAATGGATACACTAAGTCTACTTACAGTTTGTCCAGGAAATTTTGATTAAATTTACTCATAATATTGTATTATTTCCTGGAGCCCCTTATTTAAAGGTTACTTGTTCAAATTTCTTCACACATGCTTTGATAGTATTTGTCTGCTTCTTCACATGTTCATAGCCAACAATCTGCATTAACATATTTTGAGGATGGACAATTTTTATACCGAATGTTCCAGCTGGAATAAAATTTGTTCTTGCTAAACTTTTAAGTCCATCACCACATATAATGAGATTAACAAAATCAGCTACACATTTTTTTAAATATTAATTTGTAAACAAGCCTATTCTTTGTTCTCAAAATTGCAAGGATACATTTTTATACATAAAAATCAAAATGACTTTTGTATAATGTGATGGTTAACAAGCTGATGAAGAGTATTCAATCCTTACTGAATGCCTAACTATTGTGCCCCATGTTACATTAAGCTTTACAGTTAATAACCCTTTGGAGTTGAGATACTTATTTTCTATAATCAAAGGTTCCTATATTCCTTTCAATATATGATTTCATCTGTCTATATTTCTGAGATGAAGTATCATGTACATTATTTACGTTATTCGGACTATTGTCCTCATCTTTGTTGCCATATTTATTACAGTGTTTCGGCCGTTGTACGCTCCAGTCTTCTTCAGGTGGTTGGAATGTTGAACTGAACCCTCAAGGACACATGGCACAGTGGATAAATGCGTTAGTTAAATCCAGTGACAGGACCCAAAGAGTGAGTTCAATACCAGGTTAAGGCGGTGGAAAACTTTCAGAGGGAAATTAACAGGAGATAACTAATAATTGACATCTATTAAGCATGGCACATGGAACTAGAACAGTCTACCCCAGTGAGTGAAATAAAGGGTTCAGTTCAACATTTCAACCACCTGAAGAAGGCCAAAGTGTACAACGGCCGAAACATTGTAATGAATATGACAACAAAGATGAGGACAATAGTCTGAATAATGTAAATAATATATGATTTCATGTTATTAAAATATTTCATCAGCTATTCCAGGAAACTGATTGCATTCACTCTCTTCATTGCAGTCTACAAATTATCTTGAATCCATCTCCAATTTACTACCAAAATATAAAAACTTAGAACTTGCCAAAATATTGCAAAATTTCTCCAGAATTTCTTCTTAACTGCTGCCATTTTTTAATGTGTAGATGTTTCATAGGTGATGTTTGATCTACAATTACCAGCAGTAGATAAGGATATTGTAAAGCTAGGATTTCTTAGCAATATGGGGAAATTAAATTACATTATTTTAAGTAGAGGATTTAGTAATTACAGGATCTGTGAATGTGTGATGCCATATCAATATGTATATCTTGTCAGTCACTTCAGAGAAATATAATCGACCAGTTCAAAGTGGTTAAAAGAGCATGCTGTAAAGCAGTAATGGTTACTGAGACATTAGATTTATAATGACCCAAAGAGTTGTGAGTTCAATACCTGGTCACAGCAGAGGGAACAAAAACTTGGAGAGTTGAGTTACTTAAGGTAATTAACTGAAACAGAGATATCCAAAAAAGGCATGGCACGTGGAATTAGAACAATCTACCCTAGTCAACTAAATAAAGGTTTTAGTTCAAAATTCCAACATATATCACCTGAAGAAGGCTAAAGCATACAACAGCCGAAACATTGTGGATGTGGCAATAAAGAGGACAAAAGTCCAAAAGATGTAAATAGCAATAATTTAGTAAGGTAATTTATTGCTTGCTAAATTATTATCATAATAAATTAATTATAGATATTTAAAGATATTGATTTCTATTTGTTGCTCTTTTTACTATGCCTCTGTGCCAGACTAGCTTTCATCTATATGAACTCCAGTCAGTTGTGCAATATAGTCATCAATGTGGTTGAATCTGGGCAATACGCATAAACTAGTCACATGACATAAGTATATGTGTTGAGATGTTGAGTGTTTCCGCTTGCGTGTATTGAAATAAGGACAAACACATACGTAGAGAAAAATACTGGTATATCTGAAGAGGTATTTACAACAGAGAGATTAGTAGTCAAACGAACGCAGGTTAGTCAGTAACAATCAGAAAGAGCATAAAGTCCAACTGTATCTTCCGGTAGAGAGACGGAAGTGTGATGGTCACCTGATCTTTCCAGAACTCTATAGAATTGTCCTATTAGTAGTAGAGAGATCAGTCCATTCTGAGGAGAAGGTGGGTGCGCCCCAACAATATGCTAAAAACCGCTTTGACAATGAAATGTGTCTAGAGAGAGTAACCTCTGTGCAGCATTTTTGTCCCCATTTTGTATGGATAAAAAAAAAACATAAGAAAGAAGATATTTTATCTTTTTGTTCAACTTCTTTCTCATCATTTTGCATTCTAGATCCAAATTAAATGAGACATTGCAATCGTCAGCAAAGTGAATTAAATTGCATTTTCTTCATCTGACCACAAGACAAGATTCACTGGCCAAAGACAAAAAGATCCCACACAACTATCAAACATTTTATTACAATTGTCATGTAATTTCTTTAGATGATAAACACACCAGTGTTTTTCAAACTGTATCAATTTTATACATTGTTTTTTCAAATTCTCATATTTCTTTTCTCACAGGGCTCAGAACCTTTGTACAGCTACAGTGTTCTTACGGTGCCTGCATCGTCTATCATGACTAATATACATCATAGGATGCCGGTATGTATTAATATTTGTATCATTTTACATTTATTATTTAAAACTAGAATCAATGATTTGGGGAATAGATTATTAAATTTGACTAATAATTCACAAAACTGATGCTAACACAAAATGCAATGGCCATGTACCAAACTGTTACTTAGTGAATTCTACTTCTGTCCTAAAATAATTAGTGTATGAAATGATTATATAACTGTAACAATTATTATAGGATGGAAATTGTAGCTTTTACAAGATGCTTACAATCTATAGAATGGCAAAAGTTGAAACAGAATTTTTGTTTATTTTTCTCTATTTGGTGAATTTGAATCAAGTTTCAACTTTTCATCATACAAAAGAAAAAAAAGACTCCAACTTTGAATCCTTAATTTTACAATTTTCAAAAATTTCTACAAATTCAAAAAAACAATTAAATTCTAGGCAAACATTGCAGTGTATTTAATGCTGTGGAATTTTAACATTCAGAGTTTAAATGTTAAAGGGTTTTAGTTACCATATATCTTAGGGTCAAAGTGCAACACAATCTTCCTTGTACTATATAGCTCTGTACTCAACTATTTAATACATATAAATTTTTTCAGTTTATGTCAAGAGCCTGACATGAAAAGATCAGATTTAAGTGGAAATAATTGGATCAAATCAGTTGTAATGTAGATTTTTTTTTGTTTTTCTATGTAAATTTCAAAGAAGTGATTTGGTTTTCTTTCAGCACTAAAATCCAAAATGTTTCTTTTCCTCTGCTGCAGGCAATTCTAAGCAATGAAGAAGAGGTCGAAAAATGGTTGAATTTTGATGAAGTTGCTCTCAAAGAAGTAAGTTTATAAAATTTGTGCCAATTGTATGAATCTTATTGACATTTGTGTCTCTATTAAATGTTGGCTCATATTTTTTTCTATGTTAGTGTTTATTACAATATTCAATCACTTTTTCAATTTTATTATTGGTGCTACAAACTTTGGCATCAAAATATTTTTTGTTAGGGAAATCTTAGAAAAGGCTTTGAAATTTACTCCAGTTTTGCATATTAAAATTGTAGAAAAGTGATAATTTGACTTATTGAGTTGAGAATTATGGCTGAATACAAAATGCACATTCAACCATATTTATACTTCAGATTTAATCTAGCAAAGAAAAGTGCTGTGAAAGCAATGAATGACTGAAGCCTGTGGTTGAAGTAGGTGCAAGCATATATCAGAAATTGTTTGCAGATTTTAAAAGAAAAAGAAGACATTTCCAGGATTCAGAATGTTCTAGAAGATCACAGAATATTAAGTGAAATAAAGAAGCTTTTGAATTTTAAATGAAATCTGGAAACTTTTGAATTTTAAGTGAAATCAGAAAACTTTTGAAGGCAACTGTGATACAAACAACCTGTGGACTTCCAGAAAAAATATGAAACAAACCCATGACTTGTTGTTTACATGCCTGTTCCTAAGATCATGGGTTCTACTTGAATTTGCAGAAAGGGATTTGCAGAAAGGGATATTCACATTTTAAATGCTTGTCTTTCTCTTCTTGCACAGTGCAAAAAAAAGTGCTTTTGCACAAGGATAGTCTCTAGCAATAAGAAAATAGATTTATTATGAGAATCCAAAATAAAAAAAAAAACAAACATCCAGGCTAGATCCAGAACAGCCTTCAACATATTGACCTTAAGACTATTCTCTTATATTTTCTGAGATTCCAAAAGAAATCTTTATAATAAATTAATGTAACAGAACAAACTGTGTCCAATGCAATTGGCTTGTTTGAATGATTGTTCAAGAAAAACCTTTTTTTTTCTGGGTAAGAAAACTGACTTGTGATTTTACTGCATCACCGCTTCCATCCTCATATTGCAAATTGTAGCAGTCATGGAACTAAGATAGAAACATCTCTTGTACACAACACATTCTCCAGACTCGTCACCTCCAAGCTATCACTTGTTTTACTCTTTGAAACAATTCTCATCTGTTTAGTGACTCTAAAGTTCATCATATTAAAACAATTTCTCAGAGAATTAATTGGATCAAAACAAGCATTATATTTTTGACAGAATTTGCTATTGATCTAAATCAATTGTAGAAATCCAAGAAAAATGCTGATATGTAAATAATGACACAAGAAGAAATGTTGGGAACTTTTCTATAAAGATAGAACTGTCATAAAACATTTTTGTATTATCATGTCAAAATATATTCATTGCACTAAATTATTTTTTAATACATTGTTTCCTGAATGTTTTTTTAAAAATTTGACAGCATTTTCATCTCCATTTTCAGACATTTCATTTTACAATGATTGCTACTAACACATTCCTTCAGTTTGCCAATTGGTATTAATGCATAAATTTAGTTTGTTGTTTGAAGAAATGGAATGTACTATTTAAGATAACATTCTAAGCTGTCTTTAGCAAAATATTAAAATCCTGTGGATGCATTTGTAGCTTTGAGTTACTTGCATTTCTCTTATAAGAAAATGGTTTATATTCAATATCCTAATACCAACTCAAAAGTTTAACTTCTTACATCAAGGCTATTGAAGTTTTTCTTTCTTTACTCTTTTAAACCCTTTTTTGTATTTTAGGCTGTGGATGTGATCAAATCTCAAGAATGTCTGAAGTTCTCTCCTGTGTCAACATTTGTTAATAATTCTCAAAACAACAGTCCAGAGTGCATCAAACCAATTGTTGAAAGGTAAGCATTGCGTTCATTTTTTTTTTTAAAACCTTCTTTAGTAACCAACTAGCAGTAGAGCCCGGCATTGCCCGGGGATGTAACAGTAAGAGATAGATCAAGTATCGACCATCATAAAGACTGAAAAATAAAATTGACAAAGATTATTGTTTAAGGTTGACGGACATGCATGTCTTAATTAGTTTATTTTTTTTTTTTTTTTACGAATTAGTCAAGACCAAACTCAAACAAAAACATTGTTTTCAATCATTATGAGTCTATCGATTGAATAGAATTTTATTATAAACAATTGTCTTGTAAATGGAATTTTTAAAACATTCTGAATGTAAAAATAAAAAAGTATGCAAGACAATAAGAAACACTACCTGCCAAAAAAAAGTGAAGTTTTGTTGAAATCGGTTGAAAAATGTAGGAAATCTGATCCCATATATAAACGAACACACACACAAACAACCTGGGTTTTATAATAAGTATAACTCGATAGGAGTTGTCCTCCTTTCATTCTGACGACAGAATCGTGTTTTCAAATTGATTTCATGCAAAAACAATTGTGTTTTTCCAAATTTTGGTGCTGTCAGAACCACCGCACGGTAATTTTACACAGTCCTGTGAAGTTTTGTTGAAATCGGTTGAAAAATGTAGGAAACCTGATCCAATATATAAACGTACAGACACACACACACACACACACACACACACACAATATCTGCGTTTTATAATAAGTAAGATTCTTGGCCTTTTATGTTGGAAATGAAGTCATTAAAAGCCTTGATGTATTAAGATCAGCAGGTTGCTCTTGAAAAACAATACAAAATCTTTGGAAATTATTTCCAAAAATTTTTCTTGAAAATGCTGAGGACACCAATTCTAATGTTGGTTCTACACAAGTTTTTTTTTTTTTAAGCAGATGATTTTTTTTTAAGAAAAGAGTTTCAAAATCTTTATCACCAATCCATCAAAAACCATATATTATATATATTCTCTATGTATATATCGGTATATTATTTATTGTACCCTCTGATTCTGATGTGTGGTATTACGCAAAAACTGGCATTGGTCAAGAGATAAGTCATGTGAACATTTAATTAATTATTACATACATATATATCTGTATATTATGGCATTCAACATTTTAAGTGCTCAGTTCTCTATTGCTTTTATCAGTTAAATATTTTCTTTGATAAAATTAATTTATTCCTTAAATTATTTGGATAATTCTGTTTATCTGTGGAGTTGGCTTAACAATTCAGTTTTCATTTTTTCATATTGTGGAGTTCAAATTCCACCCAGATATATTCACTTTGCACTAATGGCCTGGGGAAAAGTATCTTTTCTCCTCCCCATGCTCAGCTATTTAACCACGGCTTGGGAAGAATATGCCTTCTAATATTAGTGACTTTATTTTTTCTTCTTCTTCAAATACTATGTCATTGACCTGATGAAGTCATGATAATGGAGCAGTCCAAATGTGTTGAAAGCAATAAAAAATATAGATACTCCTCCAGATCATATGTTTATAGGTTCTGCTAGTTTTCAAGCAATGTTACCCTCCAAACACATACACACACAGACTCTCTCTTCTAGATGAGAACTTTTTACTTCCTTCCTCATGAGGAGAAAAGTGCTCAACCCATTTTTTTCTTTCCAACTCAAAAATTTGATACAAAAATAAAATTCAGTTTATGCTTGATGGCAACACTTTACAAGTTGTCATCAAGCATAAACTGAAATAAGCAACAAAACTTGAGAAAAATTCTGATTTGATGAGGATTTTTTTCTAAGATAATTACTCAAATTTCAATTATTTATTCAATAAAACCATTTCACAATTCCTCAAATGTCATATTCAGCAAATTTTATAATTTTTTTTTTTTTTATTAAAAACCTCTTTCAGAAGAGACACTTCCATCAATGTTTTTTTTAATCTACCAAAGCAAGAGTAGAAAAAGATTTTATAATTGAAGTTCACAAATCAATGTGATTAACTGTTGATGTAGAGATCTTTTGAATTAGATGTCAATATTTAAACTATTTTAATTCAATGTAACATTCTTTAAAAACAAAGTAAGTGTCCAATAATTAAGTACATACTGTGACAAAGGCTTTCAGTTTTAAGATTCTGTTAGCCTAATAAACTAAGTGACAATAGTTAATGAGGTCAAGCATTTTGTGACAATGTCTGACCTCAGCACTCATAATAAAATTCACATTAGAGTTTTTTTGTTTTTTTTAACTATTTAATTTCCCCATTGAGATGTGGTAGACTAATCTGGTACAAGGCCAAGTGGAGAAAGAAAAAAACGACTGTGTTGTACCAGTTTTCCAAGTAGGAAGGATCTGTCTTGAAAAGCAGCATTCAGAAGATTTTTACCTCAGCTTGAACTCATAATGCCGATAGGATTGGCTGCTTTGAGATGAAATATTCTCTAATTATTGATGATTCCATTTACAAAATGAAAATCAAAAATATCTTTGATCATTTCTTTTTTTTTTCACAGTAAACCAAAGAATCTTTTGACAAACTGGCTATCTGGTTCCAAAAAGAAAACCAAGGAAGAACTAAAGGAAGAAGATGAAGAGGAGGAGGAAATCGTCTCCAAGAAAGTTAAATTAGAAAAGTAACATCAGCAAACACCTTGTTCCAGAAGATATAATTTCCTTTTATATTAATGAGAAATTGTTCCAAAAGTTATTTTGTATTGTTCTAAGCAACTGGTCAGTCAGTTCATCTTTTCATAACATTTGAACTTGGATGTTGTTTTTTTTTCCTTTCATTGTTTTTTTTTTTTTTTTTTTTTTTAAATGTTTATCTATGTTTTTTATATTCTTAAATATTTGTTAATTCATTATTATTGCTAGAAAACCTCTAAATCATAATAAACTCACCTGTAGGTTGAAACAACTTTTAAAAATAAATTTCCAGCTAATGAAGCTTGGTTTTTAAGTCCCGGTCAATTGTTAATAAAATCTACTCCATTAAAAAGTTAGTTAGTTACCCAGTTTCCATTGCCTTCTTCAAAATAGTCCCTTTTGTATGTCAGCAACTTTACTAGATTTATGCACACTGTTGACTAGATTTTTAGGGACCATTGAAAACTGATTGAAAGAGATAAGCATATTTCATTTCACATTTTGTATTTGTTACTTGAATTAAAAATAAAATTTTTAACTGATAATTTTTTGTGTATAAAAATTATCTTGATGAAGAAACAGCAAAAAAAATGTCCTTGGAGTAAGTGATTTATAAAGAAAAAAGAAGACTTTTCTATGGAATGATTTGATTTATTCTCGCAAAACAAAATGATTATTTACAAATAATATAATGTTATGAGTCAAGATTTTCTTCTTCATCTTGTTTGGCCACTGGTCTTTGTTGGTCAATCAGTTTTTGTAAGTGTGATAATTTGTCCTCCAACATGGCTTGCCGAATGGCCACAAAATAATGGAAATAATGGCTGAAGTTGTGACTAAAAAGAAAAAAAAAAAGGAATCAACAAAATGATTAGAATTTTAATGCTATTAATATGCTAAAATGTTTGAAGTAGGCATGAATTCAGTCTTTCCTGAAAATGATTTTAATATGTGCAAAATTAAATTTCTCAAGAAAAAAAAAAATGAAGTCTAGTATTGTAGATACTAAGCAGAGGTTAAATGAGGGTAGAAGATTGTGTTGCAACAAATGAGAAAGTCTGCCTGACTTGAAAAATCAACATTCAAAATCCTGGTTCAGACAATGACGATGGTGAAAAATATGCAACTACCCAGCATGTGTCTAACATTTGAAACACATTTTTACTTATCAATCTCTCATGTGGAAAGGACCTGAAGCTAGAAATTGTAGTTGTAAAACAAGTCAATGATCAGTACAATTTGTGCGAGTGAGTGAGACAGACAGAATATCCAACTCGTGGCGTGACATAATTGATAAGGATGTTTCTGCCTCAAAAAACCTGCTAGACCCTAGAGTTGTTATTGTTTAAAGAACTGTTAAATCAGCAAATCAGTAACACTTAAGAATTTTAGTGTCTTAAATTAATTTGACAATTTCAACAAAAATAAATACACTTCACAAAATAATAAGTAAAATTTAAGGGATGGATGGGTAGGAATTTTTAACTTTTTAAATCTTCCACAATGTTTAGAATTTCTGAACAATATTTTAAATGCTTTTGTTTTTTTTCTTTTTATATTTGATGGATTAGTGGGAAAAAAAAAACACATCATTTGTTGATCTGATGCCTTTTGAGTGGAGATGTAGAGGTAAACCATCAATTTGTCGTCGTCGTCAGGACAACACTGCACACTCATAGACCAATCAGAAACTGCAAAATTCTGAACAACTATCCTGAACTATCCTCAAGCCCACGTATGTATGGAAACAGCTATTCTCGGTATTACCATTAACAATCATGATGTAATGGTTAGTGAGCTGGACTTGTAGATCATAAGTAGTAAACTTGATCCTGACTAGATGACCCATTCTTGTTGCTTACAATCAGGTACATAACAACAGATATAATGATTTAAAGAAATGAGATATGTTTTTTTTTAAGCACATCTCATCAATCTTCTTTTTTTTTAAAAACAAAGAAACAAACAAACAAAACAAAAAAAAAAAAATCCTCCACTCTTCAAAATGTGATAAAATATATGAAGTAATTTCAATGCAAATAATTGGAATCTGGAAACTGCATCAGAATCAACTAAAAAGGGAGTGCCACTAATTTTTTTTAACACTTCAGCAGCTGTCGACACACTTAAACATTTTTACAAAACTTACATTGCCTGTGTTATATAATGTACCTATGAACACTAGTATGTCCCAATCCTCATAAATATGTTGGATACTATTTTAAGTCGGGGTAATATACTGTTTAAGTAGTCTACCACTAATAGTGGTTTACCTACTTCACACCGCTGGCGAGTATTGCATTTTGTTGATGTTATAAAGATTACCATTTCATTTCCAACCTCCATTTTGGTTATTCCTCATTCAGTAACCCTTTCTAGGTTACAATAGCCTGCTGTTGACACACATACACACAAATATATATATATATATATATATATATATATATTTTCAAGACACTGTGAAAAGGTTAGTGCATAGTGCTATTTCCAAAGCAGTTTAGACAGAGTAGCATAAAATAAAACCTGTTTTGTAACATTTTTATTGTGTGTTGGCTTGTTATTTAGTCTTGTCTGTACTGCAGAATATACAATCAAAACTAAAATGGCGGTGCCCATGAAAGATTGCCATCAGTGACTATATAGTCATTTATATAAATAGTAATTTCTTATTTTTCCCAAAACAGACCAACACAGTCTGGCAACAATGTAGTAATGAAAATGTTAACTAATAAGAAATTACTAGATTTCAGAAACTTTTACTTACTAGAATCCCATTTGGGTGTGAATACTGCTTTGGGCAAATGCAATGTCAAAGTTTTAAAAATCAGTGGTGATATTAATCTTTCCCATACTAGCTCCATCTTTCTTAGACCACAGCAAAAAAAAAAAAAAAAAAAAAAATTCGTTCTATTACAAAATACACGTTCATTTCATGACCAGTTTTCTATCAGTTATCTCCCCTGCACAATTTTCCTATTGCGATAATCTTGACGTTTCAATATCGAAAATGTTAAATCTCTTCTCATTACCCAGACTCACAAGGAATTACAGAAATTTGTTTACTGGGTTTCACATTTTTAGTTTCTTTAAGAAAGATCTTTGGATAAATATAGCACTGATTGATATAAGAAAAGATTAATCAAATGATCTCAAAGTCCATTGGTAGTGATTTTCATATGCACTGAAGTACTCAACAAAATGTGATCTCATTATACAGTTAGTTCAAAAAATTTCTTCAAGAAAATCTTATAAAAGTGTGGGCGGTTTATCAAATATTTTCACCCAAGTTATATAACTTAATTTTTTTTTTTTAAATTTAAAATACCAGAATTATGGTTTAAAAGAAAAAAAAAAAATAATGGCGGTCGACTTTTAAAATATTTGTGACTTCATTTCTCTGACTTTATTTTGGTCTTCTCAATTGTGACTTTCAAAATTCTCCACAAAAAGCAGCATCAAAAGCAGAAATAAATTCACGGCTGGCGAAAGCTAAAAGGTCAAATTGTCAAAACCCAATCAAGCATTCACAGAAGTCGGCCTCAAGGAATTTTATGTGTTATTTCTCTTTTCTTTAAAGGATTCAAGGAAACAAGAGGTACTTAAGCAATGTTTGCAAATGGAAAAGTCAAAGATCATTTTGAAAATACTTTCAAGAAATCTTGAAATGGAATATGCATAACCAGTGGTTAGACTATTGGACTGAATACTGGAAGGTTTAAATATTGTAAATAATTCTTTATATAAACATGAAGCAGATTTCAATTATGTGAGTGCATAAGAATGCCATTACTGTCAAATAGAATTGGTTAACATTTATTGCCTTGAAAAAAAGTAAATCACTGCAGGGAGAACCCTTTAGCAATGAACAGAAGTGATTGTTTTTTTTATAAGGTTTAACCATGGCGTTCTAAATTAGACAGCCAAGTCATAATGTAGTGAAGAGATAGAACTGGAGGTTGATGAGAGCAGTGCAACATTTTAGTTACAGTTTGAGCTAGCTTTTCTGCCAGTTGTTGGCTTAAGTAATTCAAAGAAATTTTTCCTTATGTTCGGAATATCATTTATTTTATTTAATTGAAGAATTTATATATTTTGAGTAATTTGCTTTTTAAACATTAAACTATTTTAGTTTCCAGTTTTAAAAAAAAATCTATCATTAAATGTAAAATAGAAGGAAATAATTTTTTTTTATTACAAAAGTGAATGAAAAAACATTTAAGAATGTTTTTAAATAAATTTAATGATATATAATTAAATTCTAAATATTTAATTCAGTATTTATTTTTGAATTTTGATATTGTAAAAACGTGGGTGTGAACAAAATTAATCCTGCTGCTCAGTCATTTTTTCAAGGTCTTCAAAATTTTTTTAAGTATGGTAAAAAAAAAAAGTTAACTTAGTCACTGACTCAACATGTTTCTGTTAAAAATTTAAGTTTATTATTCAATATTTTCCTGTTAAAAGTTTATTCAATGTTCTTGAAAAAAGAAAGCAAACAGTTACACTTCAAAAACAAATTCTCTTTTTTATCCCCTGTATATTTGTTTCTAAGTTAAAAAAAAAAAGTATGATTCATTTCTTAACAGATTTTTTTTTAGTTATTGAGAGAACTGTAATGATTTATTTATTAAAAATAAAGAAAAGAAATTACATTAATAAATAATATTACATAAAGTTAGTGTCTAGTTTATTTTAACAGATGTATGTTTTTTCGAAGACGTTTTTCTGCACTTGTTTTTAAATTTTATATTTTGAAATTATATTAAAATTAAATTACAATTATCATTTTGCAAAGTTACTTTAATATTTTTTCTCTAATATTGTTGTTATTCATAAAGAACAAATGCATTCATAGAATTATTTTTTTAATTGTGTTTTTAGGTAAAATAAACAACATATATTAATGTTTAATTTAATTTTTTACATTTTCCATTAAAGTGTAAAATAAAACCAGATATCATATTCTTTATTACAAAATTGATGAAAAAGCTTTTAAGAACGTTATAACAAAATTTAATATATTTAATTCGAAGTTAAGCACAAAAATAATTTTTGACACAAGAAGGGTGAGATTAAAGTGCAATGTGGTGGATTGCCCCACCACAAGGCATTGTCTCAAAACTAGTCAAAGCCCTCTCCTCTCAGGCACCGAGTAAAAACCCCAGTCCCCACTTTAAATTGAAGGGGAGGTGTTGCCTGGAGGAGCAGCACTCTGGAAGGCAATAGCTGATCTTATGTTGACAAGTTCCAGAAATTTAGATATTTAATTAACTCAATAATTAATTAAAAGATTATGTAATATTTTGCAAACCTTTCTTTGTTAAAAATATATTCCAAAATCAATATATACAAAAAGAAAAAAATAGTCAATTTAAAAAGTGGATTCTCAGGTTTAAGGCAACCCTCTCAAATTTCTGTTTTAAATTTATTGATATGGGGTTAGAGGTCAAAGATGAGATTAAGACTATAATTTGGCTTGAAAAGTTACCTCTAAATTGAAGCAGTAAAAGAAATAATTGTCCTTAAGAAACTTAATCATTTCAGATATTACCTAGGTTTCAGCAATACCCAAGAAGTTTTGTATCATTGCTTGCAAAACAAATTACAAGAACCAGGAAGAGAACTGTGTGAGAGACGAACAAATATCAGTTTATTGTTTTCCAAAAGACAAAGATGAAAGAAAGTGATGGAGAAAATCAGTTCCAAATGCCAATCTGAATGTTACAAACAATACAATTATTTGTCAACTACATTGGCCTTCAAATTTTGATACTATAGATCATGGAAAAATGCACCCCAAAAATCTACTATCTGTATGGCCAGGTGTGCTAAAGAGTCAAATACCAACACCCTCTGCTATTCAAAGGGATATAATAAAAAACAAAAAAACTCCAGTATTGGCAAAATCAAATTGCTGGCATGAATGCTTTTTTAGATTTAGATAAGACTAATTATACAAATTTGAAAGAATTTTTGGCTGAAAATATTTTAACTGTTCAGTCGTCAAAAGTTATCCCTGTCTTTACTTATAAAAATTTCGGTTAGAAACCTTTTATTATGGAGTTAATTGTTATATTAGTAGCCTGTTCAAAAACCATATAAATACAGTTCATACTTGGTCAACATTGGAAGAAATTATCCAATATTTAAATTCTAAGGCTTTTGATCACAAGAAGGATATCTTGAGTCAGCATGTTTCAGCAATGGCCCCCAAAATGATTGGAATGAAATACAGCTCAGATATAGTGTTTTGAGTACTATACAACATCACAGTCATTGATTAAGACAGCATTTTCAATTACCATCATCATTAACATCATTAAGAAGGATGACATCAAAAAGTTTCAAAACTTAATGAAAAAATCTTTTTTGTTATCTGTATTTAATATGCTTAATGTCAATCTAAAATGGTGCATAATTCTCCATGATGAAGAATATATCAAGAAAATGTTACTATATCATGGCAAACAACTATTTGTAAGTCAGTTGACAATCCATCTCTACTTGCTCAAACAGTACTTGGTAATGTCTTAATGGAGGTCCAAAATTTCTTACAAGATTGATTCCAATTTCAAAATTAACACCAGACTTTATTTGAACAAATTGAGTTAATAGTTCATCACCATCACCAGCTGATGTAGAGGCTATTATATGTGATGGCAACAGAGTAAATCAAACTTTTTTTTTTTTTTTTTTAAATCAAACACTCCCTGAAAATCCTTAGTTAACTAAAGATAATAAACATTTGCTTTTTGATTATGTTCATCTGTTGAAAATATCTGCAATTTGTGGCTCACGGAAAAGACAGAAGAACTAATCTTTGATGATAATGGAGTAAAATAAGTAGCAAAATGGGCTCATCTTAAACAGTTATATCATTTTGAATCTGAAAGACGAATTAAACTTTCAGATTTAAATGAAATTTCCATTGCTTCAAAACCCATAGAAAGGCAATGAGTTTCTACTTGCCTCAAAGTGTTTTCAGAAAAAACACAATGCACTTCTCACTCGGTCTGAAATAGATGCGGATAAGAATGATACCGTCATCGTCATAAACAAGTTTTTGACATAGTGGAAAACTTTAAATGTTAAGACCCTTCAAATTGGTAAACTACGCAATAACCCTCTACAAACTGAAATGAGATCTCCGAATGACAGCAGACTTGATTTTATCATTGAGTTTGGTCAAATGGCTCTTAATATGGCTACTAGTCAAGGTAATTGTATAAAACAATTATCCAAACACACTGCTATTACCATACATGAAATGGAGTTGTTAGTCTATGTTGACACCTTTTAGCTACAAGCCATAAGTATGTCCTACTAGGGAAATTTATAACTGATCCATTAGAAAAAGAATTTAGTAAACATTGTCAAGGATCAGGTGGCACCTATTTTATAAGTGTCTAACAGTGTATTGAAAAGCTGCATATTAAGCAGACATCTTTACTTTTAAGTCAGAATGTAAATATTGATGCTTTTGATGTTCAGCCACGTCACCAATGTACATCTTGTGATTATAAACTTTGTGAGGAAGGTTCAGAAATATTTGACAATCTGGAAATTTTAGAACCATCTCTTTTTGACAAAATAAAAATGGCTCTTGTATACATAGCTGGTAATATTACAAGAAATGATAACCAATACAATAAATATGAAACCCAATTTTATTATGAAAAGTATGAAATATATACCAATTCAATTGACCATGGAAAATTAAAGGTTCCTTCTGACCACACTTGCCAATGGTTATTTTTTTTGTTTCATCATTTACCTCTTTGTTTTGTTTAATACTTATCAGTGTCCACAACAAAAATACATGTTTTTTATTTATTTAACTTTCAGCACATTCTCATGTATGGGTCAAAATGTTATTCTAAGTACTTTCAAAAATAGTTAACTTAATTTTCTTCCAAAATTTCTGAAAATCAAATATATTTCAATAGGCCTCCACTTCTGGCTCTCAGTTGCACCATGAGCAGGCCTGGAGTATAGTAAGTACACCATGGGTTTAACCCTTTGTGGATTATTTGGCTTACAAACATATTACACTGAAACACCAGTTCCAGTACGATCAAGGTTAAACAACATCAAGTCTGGTCAGTACCTAGATGGGTGGTGGCTTGGGAATATCAGGTGCTCTAAGCTCGGATGTGTGGGTGGTGTAATGGATAATTGGAGAGATGAGTTCCAAGTTCAGTGGGGTTCATTATATCCACTTATGTGCAAATACCCTTGAGAAAGATAATAATTCACCTATTCTCCCCCAGCTATGGGTTAATTAGTAAGACTTGTATCACTAAATGATTATTATCTCAAAAAAAAAAAAAAATTTCTTAGAATCTAAAAATATTTTCTGGCTGTAAATAACCTGCAAAATTGATAAATGAATTAATTAATAAAAAAAATTGTGGTTTCTTTAAAGTGAAAACCTTTTTGGATTGTAAGATGGATTTATACCTAGGTGAATGTGACTGGAATTGGAACTCGGCTCCCTGATTTCTAATTCCAAGCTGGCAAAGGAGAGAAGCAATCTGATGAATTGCTTTGACATTAAAAGCAAACATAATGTGGAAAGATTTTTAAAATATAATGAAAAAAGAAATATATATATATATATATATCTCCTCACAGCTTTTTTGATTCACAGGTTAACAACAATAATAAGACAGTGATTGTTTTCTATTTTCAAGAAATTACTGATTGGAAGTAAAAATCATGGTTCAGTGATCTTGTCAACCAATGGAAAAGGTTAGAAGATATCACTTGGCAAATCATTGAGAGATTCATGAACTTTAAAGCCTGAATTTCAGGTAGGAAGCAGAAAAAAAAAAAACTCATTTGTACTCACAGCATCAGCAGGACACTGGCCAAGATCTCTGATGTATTTAAAAGATGATGGATGTAGGCTCGGGTGAAATTTAGGCACGTGTAACATCGGCACTCAGTAAGAATGGGAGTGAAGTCATCACTGTAGCTAGAAAAGAAGAAACATTGGACAGGATTTTGTCTTATTAATTTTATATATATATATATATATATATATATATATATATATATATATATATATATATATATATATATCTCCAAGTAAGATTTTAACAGAAACCAATTAAAATTAAGTTATAGCTGCACCAATAATCTTGAGAAGATCGTAAACCTACACAATAATAAAATTTTAAACCAATTTAATAATCTGGGTCATAATACAAGTTCCAAGGAAAATATTGTTAATGATACTGGCCAATGCAATTGTAAGAATTCTGACAATGCCCATTGCCAAACAGATGTTTAACTAAATCTCTTATTTATCTTTTACCTTACAATTCAGTTAGACTTGGAATTTAACAATGTTTTTCCTTAGATTTTAGTTGAACTGTGTTGCACCATATGTGGCTTATATTTCTATTTGTAAGATTAATTTGGATTTAATATAATTTTGTATTAATCTCCTGGTAGTTTTATGAACATCTTGTATGGATGCATTGGTTAGTATTTTTGATATTTTACATTGATTGATTATTGTTAACATCTGAAGAATCTTTATTCAACAATTGCATATTAATTTACCAAGTAATTCTAGACATTTAAATTATTTACTGGTTCCTTAAAGAAGCTATTTATTTATCAACTATAAAAAATTTTTATGTAAGAAACTCACAAAGTATAGAACTTGTTTAGCATTTTGTTAAATTACCACTTCACCTCATTTTTTCTTAGGAAATGGCATTGTCTAGTTTGTATAAATTATGTGTCCATTAACATCCACTCCTGTTTAATGTCTGTGCTACCAATCATGACTTTTTTAATTTTTGCTTCTTTGCTTAGTTTAAATTTAACGTAGACCATATTTGATTGTTTGATCAATGCCCACATACCTCATACCCCTCCTTTTTTCTTTTTCATAAAAAAAAGGTTTTATTTTGCTTTTAAATCTAAATAAATCGTTCACTCACCAGTAATTTACAATCGCCTGATAAGATGCATTGATATACATCGAAACACAACTGTAACTGTGTAACGATTTTGACATGTTTTCGGTGTAATATCCTAAAATAACACAAACACACACACACATATATATATATAATATATGAAGAAATATAGTTTTAAGGTGTGCTATATTTATTTATGGGATAAAATGCTCAATATCAGAGATAGAGCGTATGTAAATATAAATATAAAAGTGAACATTGAAGTCAACACTCAGAGGTGACAGGCTGTTTCATGCTGGACACACACACACATGTGTGGGTGTGTAGAAAAGTTTTTATACCAACTCTCTTCCTAAAATCAAACTTAATAAACAAACAAAAATTTGGAGGGAATGTATTTTTTTCATCAGGCCAAGAACTCTTTAGTAAATTAGTGTACTAAATTTAGAGGTTTTCTTCTCTGAGGATCAACTTTGCACATTGACATCTGGCTTTTTTTTTGTTGTTTGTGAATGGTTTCAATTGAGTTTGAATCAGTACAACATGAGAGTTACTGGCCAAGATGTTGTGAAAGGAAGATTTCAATATTTGTTATACCTGGTTTATTATTTGTGAAATTTTCTGAACTCCTTTTCATAGATTTTCTCCAGCATCTCTTACAGTTCATCTAATCTGCTCAGAAATCTTCAGTTTGGTTGCTAGCTCAATTCTGTACTTTGCCTTAAGCATCTGGATTCCTCAAAAAACTGTGGATCACACAGATAGACTGACATTTTCCTTAATTTGATAGAAGAAGGTTTTGCAGTATCTAGGGAAATCGTTTTGCTCCAAGTAAAGATTACTTGCATAATTTACATTATTTGGACCGTCATCCTCATCTTCATTGCCGTATTCAATAAACATGAAGATAACAGTCTGAATAATGTAAATAATGCAAATAATCATAATACTTCATCTCAGAGATATAGACAGATATCCAAGATGTTTTTCTCTTCTGATGTAAGCAAGAAATCTTTTAACATTTTCAAAGAATCTCTTAAGGAACTTAGAATTATAGAAAAGCATCAAATTCAAAACTGGTTTATATTTGCTGGACACTGAGAAATAAGATTTGATTACAAAACTGTCATATAAAAAAATGAGTAACTACCAACACCAAGGTTTGAGCGTGACACTCTGGACTTATGAATATTTTTATGGCTCTTTCATCTTATGTATAGTTAGGGTGCAGTTGTGTCATATAGTAAGAAAATGAGTAACTACCAACACTGAGGTTTGAGCGTGACACTCTGGACTTATGAATATTTTTATGGCTCTTTCATCTTATGTATAGTTAGGGTGCAGTTGTGTCATATAGTAAGAAAATGAGTAACTACCAACACCGAGGTTTGAGCGTGACACTCTGGACTTATGAATATATGTTTTCTGCCAGGTATACAAATATCGGTGTCAGGCTACTGATTATTGAGTGGAACTATCCAGTCGAATAAGTGTGAATTATTGTGTGTCGATGATTTGGGGTATGATTTAGGATTTACCGGATGTTAAGCCAAGCCACGCTACTAACAATGTATTCACTGAAATAGTTAATTATCTTTGGTTGAATTTTACGTCTTTGTTATGTTTTTATTTGCTGTTGTAATTAAATACTGTTTTATCTTAACATTGAAATCTTGAGTTATACTTAATTATTAATGGCCACCATACACCATAAAAAAAAAAAAAAAAAAAAAATCTTAACTCATTTGACTATTAATGACGGAATAAAATACCTTCGGAGTATCTACAATTCATTCACTCATACATTATGATGTCCTGTGAACAAAACACTGAATTCAACAAGAAACCAGTCATTTTCACACTGTTCTTATAAGTTCTGGGCCAAGTGTATCAATGGTGGACTACGTCTAAAATTTCTATCAAGAAAACTTGTAAACGGACCCTCTTAATCCTATAATGCCCTAGCTCAGACTTCTTCCTGTTGGTACAGGTCATAACTTAATTGAACTTATCAAGACACATATAATTTCTTAGAGAGGGGTCTAATTCTAACCCCTGAATGTACTGTAACTATCATCACAACCAAATAGAGTAGTTAATTTTTCTGAGTATTCCAACTTGTCCATCTCTCTAGCCATGTTGTTCTGCACAATTTTGATACCTGCTTCTTCCTCTCTTGTCAGGTTTGATTTGGGAGGCTTGATTTTCTCCAGTGTTTCAATTTCTGTATTGCTGGTAATATTTTTTTTTTTGTTATGAAAATGTATTGTTTGCACTTTCATTATAAAAATGTATTTTTACACTTTTATAGTGTTTTGGCGCCAGTTTGGAGGTTCACTATTTGCTCATAGCTGGGACCCTAGCAGGTGGTACCACATTGGATCAGGGTGAACCTGGGAATAACAGCAATTAAGAAGTGCTCTCCAAAACCTCCTGAACAGAGGCCTTGCTGTTGGATGTAGTTTATCATCATACCCAGGACAAAGGCAAATTTATCCTTCCTCCAATTTATTTTCTTTAACATGGGATGGGTGGTAGGGTTGTCCAGGTGCTGGCTGACGCATTAAAACAAACTTCATGTTGTTGGTTAATCATCACATACAGAGTAGAAAAGCGTCTTCAAAGTGCTTCATTATGAATAAAAAAAAACCTGTTGTCATAATCACACATCAGAGCAGTGAAAGACATGTGGGTTGAAATTGGGTAGATGTAACTGTTTGAAGGCTACTGATGGTTGTGTCACAAGGTTAAAGCTCTTTGTGAAATCAATGAAGCATAGGTAAAAATCAAATTCCTGTTCTATGCTTTTATCTTGCGGACTTTTCCAACTGTAAAGTCACTGTCAGGGCGGAAACTGAACTGTGATTCAGGTAAGTTGCTTGGTGGTCACACATGACAAAAACTTTACCAAAACTTTTGACAGCAGAGAGATTGTACAGTAGTCATCACAGATGTTTTTGGATCCGTTTTGTGAAGAGGAACACAAGAATTGCAACTGTTCAATCACACATGCTGGAAAACACCAAACAATAGGTTGAGGATTTCTCCCCCAATTTGCTGTACGATTTCTGCTACAGTAAAGTCTCTTTGTCTTTCCAGTCAACATTCATTCAACAGCAAATGTTATCTCTTAATCTGAAAGGCAATCAAACTCATAAATGACATGAACAGATCAATCACATGAGGACAGAGACATATTTTTACTTTCAGGCTTTATAATCAAGCACATACTGCTGTTCAATTGCATCCCTTGACTGCAAAGGGGGGGGGCGGCATAAGCAGAGTGAAGAAGGCCATAGAATCCACATAACTGACAATACAATGATTTGGAGTCTTGTTTTTCAGAAGACGCTTGAAGCTGGTTTGCTTTCATGATACACTAATTAATTTTTGCTGCTTTAAGTTCTCGCTGTACATGGCATTTAGAATTCTTCAGAACCCTCTCCAGAGTTTCTCTCTTTCACAAACTACAGAAGCAAGAACTTGCCATAGATTCCTTCTCATTCAGAAGACTTATGACAAACACAATTCTTTTCCAATCATTACAGATTTTTTTCTTTTTAATGCCTAAAGCTTTTAACTAAAACACAAGCAATGATCATCAGATTGAGTAAGTTTGATAACTGCTTCTGGACAAATTTTCAGCTCCTCTGGGCAGGCAAGCTGGGATCCATCTACCAGTTTTTAAACTTTCACACCCTCAGTGTTTCAACAAATATATACAGATATATTTGTTCATAGTAGCCAGTGATCTGTCTTACATTCAGCCTTTCCTATACATCTAAGACAGTGGTTCCCAACTGATTTTGGGCTATGCCCCACTTTGGTATTTTTACAATTCTGGTGCCCCCTTGTAATATTTAATAATTCATTCTTGAATTGCTCCCTTATTCTGTTGGTATAGTAAGCCAAAGGGTGCACATCCTATGCATGCCCAGCCAAAATATTACCAGGACCCCACCAGTGGGTCATGTGCCCTACAGATCTCAATGCTATACAACGACCTAATAGAGAGAATGTCTCGATGACCCTGACTGCAGCC